AACTTGGTCAGGACGGTCGACGGTTTCTCCATGAAGGTCTTCGCCTTGGAGGTGCCTGCGATATATTTCAAACGGCAACAGCGCGTGTGGGAGCGAGAGGAAGTCCGCTATTTGTGTGCATTTTTGTAGGCGGAGCAGCACCTTGTCTCGTGGTGAACGTCTCGTCAACGTGTGCCCTCTTGCCTCTGATTCAGGCATGGCAGCGAATTCGTTCGGGGCTGGAATGTCTATACAAGCAGAGGTGTTGTCGACTAATAGTGCTGTTTCCGCTGCTGCTGCTGCTGCTGCTGCTGCCGCTGCGGCGGCGGCGGCGGCGGCGGAGGCGGCTATTTCCCGCTGTTGCTGCTGCGGGTGGTGTTGGTGTGTGTCTGTCTGCGTCTCCACCCACAAACAAATCGCAGACGTCCCGGAGACTCATGGCTTAGACTCCCCCTTTTTCGGAGAGTAACGCCCAGACATCTAACACGCATCGGCCGCAAACCATAAACCACATGCATGCATGGAGACACCGTTGGAGGGAGGTGAATGGTTTCGCGAATACTACCGCTGTTGCCAGCAAAACGAACCCTGACTCCAACCCGTGTTGCAAAAGGTGGCTAGAACTACCCATAATCCTCACATAGCAGGTGGCAGGTGGATCGCTGGTACTGCCACTCACGAACACCACACGTGCACTTGCAACCGCTTGATCAAAATTATCTACACTCCTCTTCAGATTATATATGTGCGTCGTACATGCCAAAATGCCAGCTCCGGTCCAATCGACCTCTCCCACAACACCTGTATTTGTCATCGGTGGACAGAGAAGGCCCGCAAGTGCGTCCTTTCACTCGCATGTCATGCCTACTCTACTGCTGTGTTCATGAGTACGTCTGCAATAAGTTCAAAATTCAAAAAGCCGTTGCAACTAGTTGCTACATTCCACATGATGATCGGACATGCCATCACACGACCAGCACAACACAACATGAGTCTTTGGTACGTGTTACGAATTGATGTAGCCACATTAGATACACACCTGAACCAAGGGTCGTGTAGTACACCATGACCTTCCACTTGTGAGGCATCTGCAGCGGCCCGCCCATGGTGCTCAGGGCGTGCTCGATCAGCTTGATGAAACCAGGAACCGCGATCTCTTGCATGCACTTTGACGCTGCCAGGTTTCGCTGTGCTGCAGACATCTTGTCTGCCTCCTTGACTGCTAGAGCAGAGTGGACGAGTGGTATCGACTGAAGCATCTTGAGGGCAGGCTGGGTNATGTATTTGTTTCTCCTAATGTATCCTTCCCATAACAGCGGTACTCAAATGTTCCTCTGACAAATATTCGCACGCAAATGTTTGGAAACATTTGAAGATTGTTTTTCAAAGATTTGGTGACCATAAACATGGGCCTAAGCGAACTTTTCTTGGAACAGGAGTTTCTCTCGCGTCCGCTCCTGGCGTAGTGGATAGCGCTAGTTCGTGTGTACACAGAGGGAAGAGAGAGCTGAACTCTTCTTGCATTAAAAATCGAAGGCAAAGTACCGCAGGAGGGGAGGGTAGAGAGGGGCTCTTCTGTGTGACCACGGGTTGGAGAAAACGGCGCCAGTGCTGTGAACGCTGATTTGAAGTAAAGACGAAAAAAAAAGAAAACGCCGCAACTTACGCCCGACGCTAGCCAGCAACATCGACTTTGTTTGCCGCATACCCAGCTAGTGCCAGCAAAACATTGCACACCAAAGGTGTTCCGCGAGCTCAACAGAGTGTCTGATACGCAAGCTAAAGGTCCATAACCAATTTACGTATGCATTGTACAGAGATCCGTTCGCAGGAGGAAAACATGGCGGATTCTCCGATCTCGACGCGTTCCGGGTTTGTAACTTTGACGTACGTGTATTTAGGCACAATTGATGCATCCTCGCATTGGGTATGCCTGCACTTTGCGCAAAGGTTCTTCCCGTACTCACCGTCACGAGCACAGCAACCAGAAAACAAGTAGCCGGATAGGTCGGTAGCTGCTCCGAAAGCGGACGGGTGCCCGACCAAGCCGCGCCCGCTGCTTCTCGTGGCGACCTCTCTATTACGTTCCCCCCCAGCATCCCGTCTCGTCCCCCGGCCTCAGCAACACCAGGTGCGCCCAGCTCTGCCTCCACATTCCGCGATATCACAGTAGTGGTGGCTGTGGCATTGGCCAGTGGCATGTCTCTACTTGCGCGCCAGCTCGAGCTGCGAGAGCACTGCTGTCGCGGGTTGTGTGAGTGAGTGTACGGCGCACAGCACGCACAGCGGGCAGCACAGCAGTACACAGAGCAGCAGTCCGAGCTGGTCGGGCCTTTTTCAGCATTGGTTCGGACCCGTATGTGATTTCACTGTCTGTATTGGCGGATCCCCCCACGAAGAGTTCACCCGGCGTAAATCCACCAGTGCTTGCGCACAGAATTTTCGTGCAAGCGGTGAAAAAGTGAAAACGCCTCCAGAACTACTTACAGACCCATTTTGAAATTTGTCCGTTAGCACGGAAATTCTGTGCGCAAGCACTGGTGGATTTACGCCGGGTGCGAAGAGTTCGAGCTCAAGAGTTCCACCTTCTTTTTTCTATTTTCTTAATATGACACAACGAGTCCATCTCTATCATAGAAAAGAGTCAGAGACAGATTAACAATGGAATCATAGCGTCAGAAAACTACCTGTGTGTCTACGATTTCCCAGACAGCATATTAGGACATCTCCCCTGTGGGTAACAGGCTCAACAAATCAGTTTGGTAGCTGTCTTGTGTGTCTCAATTATGTTATGTTGGGAAGGTGCAGGCGAAAGGTGTTGTGTACTGTTGGTAGTCGGGCTTTTGTGTGTCGCACCCTATTAGTTCTAACACATGCAATCTCCATCAGTTTACAAACATATTCTCAGTTTGGTATGCATATGTGCGGAGCATGTGCGGCTGATGTGCCATCTCGATCATAGAAAATAGTCAAGACACAGATTAACAAAATTAACAACACCTTCTTTGGTTTGTGGCTATTGGTTGTTATAGTCATATACCATTGGTTTGTGGGGGGTTTATGCGGCGTTTTCGGTTGCAGGGCACGATTTGCTGGTGAAACGTCATCGAATTCACCGCGAAAAGCATGTTGATCTGCTCCGGTTCTCGGTTCTCCCGGTCGGGCACTTACCGCAGTAGAGGTGGTACGTTGTAAGCAAAGCAGTAGACTATTGGTGGGGAAGGCATGTGCCGACCCATAAGCTAGGCAGACGATTGTATGTAAATTCTTGGATGCCGAGACATTCGTTATCGTCTCGCCGTGCCAGTTCGGTCAAGGGGAGAGAGAGGGGCAGCGGACGTAATGTTCACAACCCAACCCATATCTCCGCTGCCACCGTTGAACAATGATGACTCCCCTACGCAGCACCAAAGGGGTTCGTTCAACTCAATTGCGGCCTTCGGGGGTGCCTCTCCAGTACCGGCAAACCGCCTGTTCGAGGCGAAAGCGGTAAACCTTGTGCCCAGGCCGAAGACAAGCACGTCTCATACCCGCCAGTTGTCGTCGTCGGCTTCTCTCGGCCTTTTCCTGGCCTCTTCGTCGCCGTTACCCTCCTCGCCAAACGGGGACCAGCCGGCGCCGAGGTAACCATTATATACGTCTACGGTAGTATTGCTGGAAGTTGTCTGTGCGGACTAAATACTGCCGTGGTCATGCTGAGCGAACTGGGTGTTCACTGTACCTCGCCGCACATGCGTCGAACGAGTCGAACGTCTGGCTGTGTGTAAGCAACCAGGAGTGCCTACAGCACGTAAAGCGGTAGCAAGAGCCGAGGAAATAGGGAGAGAGTGCGTTATTAGGCTGGTATGTAGTAAACGATAGCTCAGCATATTATTATGTAGATACGTGGCTACGTCCCACTAACGCTGCGCCGTTTCTACGTTCCCTTTGGCCTTGGCGTCTCACACTGAACGGCGGACGCACAAAGGCATTCCGCTGCGGCTCATGCTTTCATTGTCAACGCGAGACAGGTTCAACCTACATAGTAGTGAACACCAGCCACGTACTCGTTCCTAACACCTGCAGCCGCCTTCCACATAATCACCCAGGCACGGCAAGGACATGGTGCGGCAGAAAGAGTTTTCGGCAAGTGACCAGCACCATCAACAGCCGAAGCGCGTGAATAGCGCCAGCGCACATGGAGAATTAGATCGATCGAGCGGCAGCAACAACAAGAAGCAGCTGTCATCGGCCGCCGCCCCCGCCGCCGAGGCAGTACCCAGATGGTCGTCCTCGCGCGAAGGCCACACCCGCTCTGCCAGCGAGCCTGTAACAGCGGGATTGGCTTCGCCCGAAACGGCCGCGCCGACCTTAGCTCAACAGCACCACCAAAACACGAACACCCATCACAACAACAACAGCAACAGGTCTCGTCGGAGCGATTCTGGTCGTGGCGGAAACGCAGCCCCCGCCTTTTCCATACCTCGCAGCGACTCTCTAGGAAGCGCCCAATCTCAACCTAGGGCTCAAACCACCAGCTCCTTGAGGCGTAGCAGCAGTAGCACCAGCGAGACGTTCAACAACTGTGGTCGCGGCTTCAATGGGGGCAATGGCACCAGTAGCGCAGGAGCTTCCGTCGCGTCGAGTAACGATCCCAATGTTCTGAGGGTCGAGATTAATCGGCTGCAAGCGGCGCTCATGAACGGGTTCAAGGGCGGGGATCGGTTCGTAGGCGGCGCGCAGTTCAAGGCCTCAATTTCAAGCCGAAATTGTCAGCACGGCGGTAGCGGCGGTGGGGCAGGGGGAAAATCCTGCGGCGGGTGTCTGCAGGTTTGTGCGTTAGACGCGGGTTTGGACAACGCGAAATAGCTCGTAGTTGACGTGACGCAGGCACGGTGGTATACTCTACGGGGCTTAGGAGTACCCCAAGCGAATAAACGCCACCTTTTTTTCGTTTTCAGGAAAGGGGTTGGGTGGGGAGGGACTGCCGCTCGATCGGAGGGGGGTATTGCTGCACCAGCAAAAGGTACTGTGCTGTAGGTGGACGGTATCGCTTGGTATCAGGAGGGGTGAGTCTTTTCAAAAGGCCATAACTCAATGTACCGTCCAAATGAAGACGCATATTCGAAGCGTTTGCCGATGAATCCCCGCTACGACCAAATTTGGTTGAGTATCTGCGCCGCAAACAAGGCTGTGGTACCAATCAAACGTCACCAAGCGACTGCAAATGTTCCGTCAACTCGGTGGTGTGATATCCTGATGGGGGCGGGGAGGAGGGCGTTTCCATACTTGCACGAACGCCCGATGCTTGGACTCTAGCGCACTCGGCCTCTCGAACGAAATGCGAAGGCCATCGAACAACACCTAACTGCAGGTGCGAGAGGCGCTGCGTCGGTCCCGCGTTGAGTGCCGGGACCTGAGAGGGTCGCTCTTCCGGGCAGAGCACGTGATCAAGCAGCTGACTTTGACCAAGGCCGTCCGACGGCGAGGGGCGAACCAAAGTGGTAATTACACGGCTCAGCTCGGCCTTCAACTATCTTTGTCGTCACCATCATTACCAAGAGGAGCAACAGCAGCAGCAATAAGATCAACATCTGGCGAGCAGGAACGGAGGTTGGTTCCCCAAATGCTGACGACCAGTGCCGGTTGTGGTGGCGAACGAGGGGGGAGTAGTTCAAGCAGCCGCAACGATGGCCACGTCGGCGAAGCGCCGTCTCGCGAAAATCTCTTGTCCAGGGTACAGGAACTGGAGCGAGAGCTTCGCCTAGCCGATTTTCGGGACGCGAGGAGCATGGGGGCGACCGTAGGAGAAGAGCATAGTCGCGCACGGAAGAACAGCACGGACGATGAGGTGTGGAGAATATTTCTCGTACCGCGGCACTCTTCATCGCCTCAAATCGTGCGCGTCATAGACTAGAACAGCTTTTCACGAGAGAATGAAGCACTTGGATCAACAAGCATTTCCACCGACACATAGTCAGTTGCTGGTTTGTTTTCCAGCTGGAACATGACGAACCTTGAGGCAATCGGGGAGCCTAACTCGAACCCTGCGGTTTCCAAGCATGGGGCGGCTACATTATTGGAATGATGCCCGACCGCTGCGACAACCGGCTCACTTTTACCCCAATGGCAGGTGCACCTCAACAAAAGCGACAGTGACCACGATGCCAATTTTTCGCCATCGAAATCACCCTCGTCGGCATCGTTGAGAAGGGCGCTGGGGAAAACGAGCGGCACTGGCAGCAGTAGTGGTGGTGTGTGGGATTGGGAGGGTCCGCCTCCGTGCTCCAAGTGCTCCGTGTTGAATGATCGGCTGCTGGGCGAGGCAACCAAGGTTAACGGGCTGATGAGGCGGATTCAAGAACACCAAGAAGAGGTGGGCGATACTAAGGAGAGACGGATTCAAAAACACAGAAGAGGGCGGTTGTGGTGGCGGCTGTATTGGGAGCGGGCGGCACAAAAGCACGAGCAATGCACAAGGAAACCTTTCGAGAAATATGTATTGACATCACAAGGCGTGATTAGGGTGGAACATCTTTGTGAGAACACCAGCCAGACTAGGTGAGCGATGTCTGAGCTGGTACGTGAGGCTTGGGGAAGCGCGCCCGGGAGTACGGACAACAACCGTAGGTGCACATGCACAAGACATCACACCCCCTGGGTCGGTTTTCAGCTCGATTTCTTGGCAGGAACAACAGCGACAGTGCCGAAAATTGCGGCGTTGGAACCGTCGCGTCGAGAACTTTCCGAAAATGTACCATTTGCTACAACTCGGCATGCTTTTTGTCGTGGAGTAATCAAGCCTTGAAATCGGCCCAGGGGCAATGGTATCTTCCGCAACCTACAGTAGCTTGGTCTTGGCCAGGGCATACCGTTGGCGAAAAAGTGAATGGGCGACAGTTTCTCATGAGATGTTTTCAAGAAAGGCACTCAAGATCTTGCGCATACGCACGTAAGGGCCAGTGAGCACCAGGAAGAGGTGAGCTGAAGGTTCTGACGAGAGAGCAGGCTTGGATACGGGGTAGCAGGTGGAGAGGGTGGCTGCTTTGAATTGAGGCGGGTTGAAGAAACCTCCAGCGCGAGGTGGGTGAGTGTTTTTTCGTTGGAGACAAATCCGAGAACGCCAATTCTGCTTGTCAGTGTTCACGCACATCCAAGGAATCCAAAGAAAGAGGCGGGAAGATCGGCTTGGTATGCTGCCGACGCAGTAGTACCAGTGGGACAAACGACTTCGTAGTTCTTGTTCAGATTACTGCTTCAACAGAAGTAACCACAATCGCAGAGTGAGTCAAATTCGAAGAGCAAGACTACGACCTCAAGATGCCATTCTGAATCACGAAAACACGGGAATACGTCCTAAGGCCGGCTTGCACCGCGATGACCACCCTGTGCCACGACGTCGTTCCCTCGCAAGCCCCATGTAAAACAGGGGTGGTGATGTCTTTTCACACAACAGCAACAACATTCTTCTCAGTCCGCCTGTGTTCGATGGCTTGAACTATACCCCTCGCACTAAAAACCATCAAACCGAAGCAACAACACCTGCCTCCTTGCTTTCAGACGTCCGCGGCGCGCTCACTACCCATAGTTTTTATTCGTCGCTGCTTTCTCGACTAAGCAGTCTTTTCACATTTCTGCAACTACAAGTCAGCGCTGACTTGTAGCATAGTGGATATGCTGTACACCCTAGCCAATAGACAAGAACACACGGTTTTTATTTTTGAGGGATCGGCGGTATACAGCCAAGCGCCGAAGCGGACTCACTCTCACCGCCCCTCATGCTTCCCCTCACTCGACCCTGTCGTGCAGTCACTAGTGCTCTGGCCACACGCATGCTCAAAAGCGTAAATTCCTCCGACGAAATGTTTCCTCGAAACGGTGAAAATCCGAATTTCAACACCTGCGTGGTGAAACGTGCCCTGAACGTGCACCCCCAGGAGGCTGCCGCAAGCTGCATATCTCCGCGCGTTGCATGAAAACGTTTAACCTCGCTTCTTTACGAAGCTGACCCCGTCCTGGTTTTCTCGCTTACTTCGTTTCATCGCCGCCACGGAAAACAAACCCACAGCTCAAACGCCTCCAGGGGGAAATTGTTAGGACCAGCGGCGCACACGCGAAGGCGATCGAGATGCAGGAGAAAGTGGACGCGCTCACGAGCCAAGCGGAAGGGCAGACGAGGGCGAACGAGAAGGCCGGGGCCGAGGTAATCATTTGTTAGGCAGAAAGGATGGAGTGCACAACCAAGTGTAATGCGCTGCCTTGAAGTTTTGCTATGTTTTCAGCAACGTGAACCTATCCCATTCACCTGCGCTACAATATGCATGGCAGCTCATCCCCACCCATCCCTCATCTCTATGCATCTCTCTCTGGCCGCCATGTCAGGTGACAATCGTGTAGACTCGATTGGTTATATGGTGTTGAGAGCGAAAAATCGTGCACGTATGCATGCAGAGCATATTTGGTGTGTTTGGGTGGGTGCTGCTTCAATTGCCAGGTTATGGTTGAGGGAATTGTCTACTGATCCAACATGGCGCCAGACGACAAGGGCCATGTCACCAATGAGAGCCCTGCACCGCTGCGCCCTGAAGCCCAGACAAAAGAACGCCCAGATTACCAAAGGAGCGAACAGAAAGAGGAATCGCCCCCTCGCACATGTTGTACCGACCAACTCTGTCGATTTCCTGGTATTGCATCCGGCATACGAGCTGAACGACAACCTCCACCAGTGAAAAAAGCAACGCGGATGAGGAAGGGACGGAGTGGTCTCCTCTCCCAAAGCTCCGGCCTCCCCTCTAGTCCTTTCACCAACCGCGGCACCCTTGCCGTTCTTGGGACTCTAGCGGGAACCCCAGAGACACTAACGAGCACTCCGCAGTTGGGGTCCACGTCACAGTAACAACCCACTGAGAACCTTGCCTGATGCAGAGCATAGACAAACACGGAAGAGAAAATAAGCATATTCTTGCCAGTTTTTCAACGACTGTACCTGAAGCCCAGGCGCTAATAAATATACTGCTTTCGAAGCAGAAATGTATTGGGGAAAATCCATGATAGGTTAAGCACCCAGCTCCCATCGCTCGGCCGCAAACAATCAATGCCTCCCGTAGATCGAGCGGCTGGTCGCCGACCTGGACCGCACGAGATCCCAAGCCGCTGAACACGAGGGACAGGTGAGGGCGCGCGCGCGCGGGGGACGGGGATTTCAGTGTTCCCGAGAGCGTACTAAATGCATTCCGTTCGCAAGGTGCAGTTCTGTCCTGCATGTGCCACACATACTCGCCCTTCGAGTACGTTTAGGTCGGGTGCGCGCTATGTCCGGGGCCCGCTCTCCCCTGAACGGACCCGAGAGTTGGACCGCGTATCAAATTCTTGTTTATGCAATGGTTTACCCTTTAGACCACTCGGGCCAGCCGCTGACGAAGTGTTCTAGTGGGTTAACCTTTGTAAACACCAAAAGTTGTGAATTTGGACTCGAATCCCAGCTGGGACACTTTTGAGGCACCAAGATTAGTTTCCGCAAGCAGGACCCGTTAGACCACTCAGTCAGCGCAGATCTGAGCGTCTGCTGCGCTGTCTGAGTGGTCTAATGGGTTAGCTTTGTATAAACAGCCTGGTTGTGTGGCGAGACTCATTGGCTAGCCGTAACAGAGAAGGTCAAGGAACTTGATACCAAGAGGAGGGAGAGTCGGAGAAACGGCAGCCCGTGGGGAAGAGGTACCACCTTCCTACCTTTGGCAGTAGCCAACCCTACGTACGTATTCAAACGGGGTATCACACCACAACGTACAGAGCTAGTTCCGGGTATTTTCCAAATCACGTTTTGGGTCGTCCCCGCACTTCGTTCTTCTCAGAGAGTCTTGCTAGCCCCAACTATGTGAATTGATCGCTGGGGAGAGGGTGCGATTTGGTTACATCAGCTCTGCCCCGTGGACTAAACCTCGAACCCACCGACAACCTTCATCATCTCTCCACAGAAAACATGTTGCCCGAACTTTCTGAACATTACACCTCGGAACTTGGTTTCTCTGGTCAGAATAGGTCAAACTCGGGTTAAGATAGGTGCGCGAGGGTTCGAACGATCTTATGGTAATGTTCGCAACACGTTTTATTCCATGGGTGGGTGCAGGCGCGGAGAGCGTTGGAGCAGCAACAGGCGTTGCGGAATGAACTGTTCTCCAAGGGAAGCCTCCTAGGACAGGCGGCGAAAGAGCTCGAAACCGCTCGGGCCGCGCTCGAGTCCGAGAGGACCTCGCGAGAGCAGACGGATCGTACAGTGGTAGCCCTGCGGAGGAAGGTGGCGGAGGAGAGGGCCGGCGCCGGCAAGACCAAGGGGGAATTGGCGGCAGCAAAGGCGGCGCGGAGGCACTCGGAATCGCAGGCGAGATCATGGAGAGGGAAAAATACCTTGCTGGCTGTTATTCGACTAATGCCGGGACTAAGAAAAGGATACCGTGCTAAAGTCCGCAGAGTGCGGGAATGATGCAACGTGGCACACATGATACAGCGAGGAGTGTACCAATAACAGACGAGAGGGAGCCTAGCGGTGAACGCAACGCTTGTGAAAGGAGCGTGCCGGCCCTCGAGATCACAGCCAATGGCACCCCTGCTGTTGAACATACCGGTTTCTGCAGTACCCCCAACTCATCAGGCGACGCCCTTCTCAATAATAACGGTCTCGACAACAACGCGAGAGACGAATGAGTGGGCCGTTCGCAACAATCAATACCAAGCCTGCCTCGGCTCCCTCGAAAAATCGGGCACCTCAAAGCAAACCCACTCGCTGGAACCCCCCCCACACTCACTGGTACACCTGCCCCCTCTCTCCGCTGTTGTTTAGGCGGCTGCCGCGGACGCGACTCACCGAAAGGCCTTGAAAGCCGCCCTCAACAACTGCGTCCGCCTGTGCGTGGTAGCGCCTACCGTCAACATCAACCTCGACGAGCGCAGCCGCTCCTTCTGCTCCGGCCTCCCGGAGGAAAGGATCCGCGCGTTCGTGGAGGAGTCCGTTCTGCCGCGCTTCACCCGCGTCCTCCTGCAACCGGGGTCCGAAGGAGGCTCGGCACCACCGGCGCTGCCGTCGCCGACGGCAAGCAACAGCAGCAGTGGCCGCGGCAGCGGCGTCAGGGCTACCACCACCAAGGCCGCTAGGAGTTCTCCGGCCGCATCCGTGTCCCTGTCCTCGCCCTTGAATCGCAGCAGCACTAGAAGCGGCAGCGACAAGAAGAAACTTGGGGCGGCATCATCTCCGGTTGTGATGCCCACGGCGGCAGCGGCGGCGGCGGTCGATGATCCAGCCGTCGACTACCACGAAAGCTTGGCGCAGAGCGAGGATGAAGACAAGCTCGACGTCCGGGGCGGGGGCAGCGGCCTGGGTGCTGGCCAGGGACAGGGTGACTTCGACAAGTGGCTGAGAGACCTACTCCTTGACATGCAGACGTCGATAGAGAGGCACGTCGCCAGCGTTTTCCAGACCCAGACGGCGGCGACCGCTGCCACCGTAGGTGGTATCGCGAGCAGCGGGGGCACCTCGACCTTGAGGCGGTAAAGCGAAGGCAGGAAGAAATAACGGTTGTGTTAGGCGCATGGGAAAAGTGGCATCTGTGCACGAACGGTGCGGAAAACCTGAGTAGGGTACTCCGCCACCGAGTTTCAGGGATTTACTTCACTGCTTTCGGTTGCGCGGCAGCCTGAGTGTGTCGATGCCCTGCGTTGAAAAGCAACCTAAATCCCGAAAGATAGCCTTGAAAGTACCGATGTACATGAGCTATCGTTGTGTCGCTGAAACCTCGTCGTGCCCGCGTCTTTTGAGAACGCGAGCAGGAAATCGTGATCTAGAATTACTTGGGAGAACAAGGTGAAAGATTGGGGTTCTCCCCGCCCTTGTAGGCGTGTAGGGAAACCGAATTGTCGACTGGCACCGAGAAGTGCCGTTCCGGAGAGCGGGCGTTGTAGTGCGAAGACATGTTCGTTAGGTTAGCCTTGCACGTTCACCCACACGGTATCTCTTGGAGTCCGTCCCCCCCGAAGTCTGCAGTGGGACAGCCACTACAGCAAGCAGCCACAAGTTTTTGGCTTTCCTCTCTGTGTGGAATAAGTGAGTTTTGATCCACCCGCGAGTATTGTGTTCTTGTGCAATTGCCATGTCGAACTACACTATCGTTGAATTATGTAAGGAAACAGTATGCAAGAACAGCTACAAATTTGCGGCACGGCTTGCACAGCGGCGGTACAAAGTTGCGTACGCAAATCACTGGATGTGTACGGGATATCCTCCTTGTTTTTAGATCCGTTGAGCAGTATATAGCACAATATATTCCGGGTGTCGGTCACACGTTAGGTACATGGATTTGTGGGCTGTCGGTTTGAAAGCGCCAACCTCAACTTCAAACTCGTGTTTCCAGGGCATTATTCATGTGTGAACCTCGCTGAAATTCATTCCCCATCCTACACGTAGTAGCTGAATTCTCCATTCATGTTTGTTGATGAAGAATACAATTGTACGAGTGACCTCCTGCGGTCATGGCGGTCGCACATGTTGATCTTGAAGCTGTTTCTGTGCGCCTGAGAGTGAGAAAGCCTTCTGTGCAGAATCGCTGCGTGGAGATCAGGTGTTAATCGTTGACTATTGCTCGCCGGAACACAAGAGAACCGCCTTTGCACATGGACTGAATCCGTGCGTTGACTCGCGCCGACCGCGGTGTGTGTGTGGCGAAAATATAGTGAATCTCGCTGGCGAATAGGGGCCCTTCCTTATATCCGGCGGTGCTCCCCTTTGTTGCTTATTGCGATGTTCCAGATATCGTTTCCGTCGTCAGCGTGAAGTTGAAGTGTGAATACTAATACTCACGAATGAATCATTCCCCCGCTAGAATTGCACTCCGACTCAGGGCGGGGGAGACCTCACAGAAGCATCCGAGTGAATTGCCGACAAAGCAAGTGATTTTACAGTATATGGATGTACGCCATCAGCCCATCAGGGGTTAGAATATGGAAGGCTCGGCAACGTCGTGTGGCGGATCTTTCTGCGTTGTGAGTTGCCTGGGTGTCTCTTTGTGAGAACCTTGATTTGCCAACGCCTGACATTCGTGGTGAACATGTCAGCGTGATCCGCCATATGTTCGAGAAATTTCTTTGTGAAACGTTGTTGCCACATAGTGGTGTTGAACGTTGCCACCCAAGAGATCCAAGATGCTGTGGTGTGACAGGATACTAGAAACATCACCGGCAAAAAATGTCAATTATTGCAATGGGCCAACCCAACGCGCATTCCACACCATCACCGCATCCTACGCAACAATCGGCGTGAGCAAAGGTGGATGTCTGGTGTTGGTGGTCAGGATATTCCAAGAGATGGTGATCGAGGGGCGAAACACAATGGATGAGGATGGACAGCAGTGCTGCTGCCGACAGAAACTTCGTTGAATACCCTCAATAATCCCAAATGAAAAAATATCATGAAGGAAGAGCCACAAGTTACGAAAAAAACGTTCAGATATATATGTGCTTCGAAGTATCAATGAGCAGTCCTCACGCGCAGCAAAGAAAAAGACGAGGAAGGACAGCTGTCCGCTCCATATCCTAAACCACCCGGCTTCTGCCCTATGTCATTGTTTTCCCTTCACAAAATCTACCACTATAGCTTCTCGTTCGTCCCACCTGGCTCTCTCTTGGCGTCACTCCGGATGGTAGTGTCGCTCTGCTCTTCATAAAACGTTGTAACTTACGAAACAACCACCACCTTAGTGATACGAAAATACGGTTGTTGCAAACCACACAACCACCTTACTACTAATACGCAATACACAGAAGAACCAGTATCCTTCGTCGTGCAACCACACATCAATGTGAAACATAACACCGAGAATCCACACCATCACCGAGCAACCAAAACACTTCTCTATATTGACAATCCCCCACCTTCTTTCTGCTATGCAGTCCAGTAGGGATAAGTTGGCAAAGCCCGCCCCGCGAGCTTTGACGCAGGAGCACATTCGGATATTAGCCTTGTCTCGCCACCCCCACCCCGTTCCCTAACATCACTTGCTGACTTTCGATGCATTGTCGTGCGCCACGAGTCGCCCGTTCATGTACCTGTGAATATTCACGCATTCATCCCCCTTCCGATGTTTGGTTGAAGTCTCTAGTAGCCGTTATTTCTCGGCTCGGCGTCGCTTCGGTTTCTTTGCCTACCATCATGCTCAAATGCACTGAGCAGGGAAATATGAGCAGATGATCACTCCCCTTTTTCTCGTGGTTGACGCTGCGTCGCTGTCGCCTCTTCGTTGTTGTCCCTTCATGTTGAACAATGGATGTCCTCACTACTTCCTCTTCTTTCCTTGGTTACTGCGGGAAGGTGGAGTGACGCCCGGCTTTGTTGGAGTGTTAGGTGTAGTGTCAGTAGGAGTTGCTGCCGCCGCTGCCGCTGCCGCTGCTTTTTCCTATGTGGGGAGGAGAATTGAGGGCGACGACAACGGGTGCACCGGTGTTGAGACGTGGTCTGAAATAGATGTGCTTGTACTACTTACGGATAGCAGAGTTTCATTGCCCCAGCCTTTCATCACCGATGACACGCACGGGCTGTGTGGTGAACAATCACCGTCAGCGATCGAAGCACCGCTGTTAAGCATCGACGGAGGCATTCGGCACACGACGCCACGGTATGAGACCGAGTGAAGAGGACCTTCCTTGTCGCTACTACCCCGGGTGTCAGCACCATGTCGTCGTACTCGAAAGCGTCGTGGAATGTTGTAACAAAAGCGGAAGACGGTGAACATGTGAACGTTGGCACTGCTCATGTACTTGGTACCAAGTCTGCTTGCCCACAACAACAGCAATCTATGCACAGTAGATCGGCATCAGGTAGGTATGATGGAGTACCGCCACACAATATCTCTCAAAGTTGTGCCTAACAATTTTGATCGACGTCAGTAGATGTGGTATATATCTACTTTTTCACGGAACTTACGCTTTTCCCATATTGCCATACTTTGCTCACCCTTTGACCCACCTCATTTTTTGGCAGCCTTGACTGCGCACGCGAGAAATAGGTCAGCAAGTTAGTCCACACGATCGGGTTCGCCTCATTCCTGTTCTGTGGTAGCCATTGAAGTTGCACCAGCGGCAGTTGGGGGATTGTTGGGCGTTTTGCACACCAATTTGTCAAACCTGCTGAAGCCGCAGTCTCTGATTCTTAGCCAGGTTAGGTGAGAATCGACGAGGTTCGGGGAGGAGGGCGCTAGCACATGCGTTCGGTGAGGACATGTCCGGACCCAATCAATGAGTTGATATTGTTCTGGAGGAAGGCGTTACTGTTCCCTGGTGCGAGCTGCTTCGCGGTTCCTTGTGCTCAAAAACTCCACCCGTCGACAGCGGCCCTCGAGTACAGATCACGGAAACCCAGTCCAAAGGAAGGCGTATGTGTGCGTCCACTCGTCACTTTGCCCCCTTCCGATTCAGAATGACCTCATCTATTCTCTATTCGCCCATTCATACCTTTCGTCTTTCTTTAGGCCGCAAGGTCTCTTGTAGCTGCCTTTGGTCTACCGGTGGCGTTTCCCTTGTGTCTTAACAGCTCTCAGGGCAGGTTCGGACAATGGGGTCACGAAAAGGAGAGTTCCTTTCCGACGGCCGGACAGAGGGATCATCTGCGGCAATGTACTCCACTTTTCACTGCGTGTCACCGCAATGAGAGCAAACTACCAAATTGTACAATCGTACGCATTCACACGACCGACCCTGGTCTTAGGCGAAACAACTACGGGCATGTTCTCCATTGCATGATTTGAGACTCGAGTGGACCAGTGAGTTGTATCAACTCCGACCCATGGAAGAAGGTATGCACAATGAATGATTGCTAGATCCGCCCTCTTGGAATCTATTGGTCACCATCACGTGCAGGGAGTGACCGGAGGAACATTTTTTTTTTTGTATCTTCCAGATACCATACTTCCTCTGTCACATAAGTAAAGTCCGTTATGGGGGAATTTACATTCCTCACCAGCCAAGGTGTTCCTGAAGCTCTAGTTAGGTTGTTGGAAAGCGCTTGTTACGCACATAACTTAAAAAAAAAAAAATCCGACTCACAATTACTGAGAATTAGTGTGTCAAAACGGGACTATTTTGCGAATATTATGGGAATATTTTGAAAACATTTTGAGAATATTTAAAAGAATATTTGCAGCTTTGTGCTGTGTGAGCACCCACTACCACCACAACGACGTAGCTATCATGGGGGACGACGCCCAGACACCCCCACGTCGTAAGCGGGGTGCGGAAGTATCGTTGGGTCGTCGGTACGCCATGGCGGTGGAGATAATTCTTGTCTTTTTTTGGTATGTTTCGTTTCGTGCCCCCACCCCCACCCTCATGGAAAGGGGCAAAATACATACGGCCTTTTTTGGCCTGACCACTTCTTTGTAAGCCGCCAGTGCATGCAGGGTAGTGCGCAAGAAAAAAAAAGAAATATGGGTTTCAACCCGAAAGACGCTCAAGATTCCAAAAAAAGTATCGCCTAAGACATCGGACACAGCTAAATGGCCGTGTAATCATAACGGACTTTACTTATGTGACAGAGGAAGTATATATATACATATATTTTGCCTTCCGACGATTGCAGATCTACCTCAGAAAACGTTCACTTCATGTCTCATACTCTACATGAAAATTAAACCAATACGAAGTACAACAACATATGTAGGACTTATTTCTACTGTCATGTACATCGTAAATATCTCCTCCTTAATCAATTTGAAATAGAACCAATGACAACCCTCATGGTATCCTACATGCGTTCGTAAGCTTGCTAAAATACTACTGCATTGATGTCCTCTTGTAAAAGCTGAAATCCAACAAATGCTTTGATCCATGCTACATCTCCGTGTTGGAAAAGCCCTTTCATCTCCGTTCATGATAACATCTTACCCTATTCTACGCAAATCTGTCACATCTNATGATAACATTTTACCCTATTTATTTTATTTATTTATTTTTGCCTTCCGACAATTGCAGATGTACCTCAGAAAACTTTCACTTAATGTCTCATACTCTACATGAATATTAAACCAATACGAAGTACAACAACATATGTAGGACTTATTTCTACTGTCATTTACATCGTAAAAGTATCTCCTCTTCAACTTACCAATGACAATCCTGATGGTATCCTATATGCGTTCGTAAGCTTGCTAAAATACTACTGCGTTGATGTCCGCTTGTAAAAGCTGAAATCCAACAAATGCTTTGATCCATGCTACATCTCCGTGTTGGAAAAGCCCTTTCATCTCCGTTCATGATAACATCTTACCCTATTCTACGCAAATCTGTCACATCTACTCTCAAACAAGACGTCAACTTCAAACGAAAACGCGTTCTACGATGCGTCTACACTCCATCCCCATATCATTGGCGTTGACTGGTTCGAGGTCGATCTTGTTCGCCTGTTTTCGGCGTCTTGACGCCCGCGCAATGCGAGCTTGTACCTCTGCACTCGCCGAGATACGGCCACCTGTGTCGCCACCGAAAACATATTGGTATTTTTGTCGTGTTGACGCCATGGATCTCACCTTCCAGGCATCGTAGTCATCAGGACCAATAGCCGAGATGGAGAAGCAGCCGTAGCAAACTGCACAACTAGAGCGATAATGTGTAGACCGGAGAAAGGACAACTCCGGAGCTCGGGGTGAGTACAGAATCGGCGACCTGGGCACGTGCAGGGGCGGTTGTACGCAAAAAAAAATGAACAACTTCGTATCCGTGCCCTTGGCGACAAGGAGAGGAACTTGCCTACGACGGGAGGGCAGACCCCTTCCAGGGAGCGAAGAGTTGTTCTCCCCAACTTCTCCAACACCACATCTTGTGCTCATGTCACATCCGACTCCAGAACGAAATATATGTAGTAGATTCGTGGCTTTCCATTGCAAACTAGGCCTGAAAACGGCGGATGACACGCATATTTATCTTGTCCAGCGTGATGGCACGACGAGTAGACATACCAGAAATTTCTAGAACCTGTCGTCAAAGTCGGTCTATGATGACACACCATCATGTCCCACTCCTCGCACATACAATCATCAGAGTTGTTCGATTTGTGGATAGAAGGCGAGGAAGCTCTGAAATCGTTGCTATTGGGCGGGGCTTTTGTGTGTGCTTTTATTATTAGCATCGACCGCGCTAACCGGCTGCTTTTGTGTGTGTGCGCGCAATCTGATGTTTGTCCACATGCTCCAGGTAGACATTATGTACGAAAATTGAGTCGGTGTGTGGTATCGCCCATTGGTAGGACAAGGCAGCATATCTCGCCACGATGACCGGAAATCTCTGGGCTAAAGCGCGGTTCAGATACTTGGTTCCAAAACCAAGAAGCTTCAACAATACTGCTGTCTACAGATGCAACTGTTGTACACCATGTAGTCTATGTACAGACTGTGTAGCGGTTGATGTAGAGCATTTCAGCGCATTTTGCGCCCCGGAATCGTTCGTTCGATGCGCAACCGAGCACCCCGAACCATTCGATACAACAGCGGGTCATTGCACGTGCCCGTTCGGAAATCAAACGAGTTTCCTGTCAAATCGTTCAGGGTTTAGCAGCTTTACACATCCCCACGCGATGACTCTGACATACGGAAAAGCCATGCCATGGCTCACACCCTTGCGCTTTTATGGCGGTGGTAAAAACGTCATACGAACGCACAAACGCACATTGTAGTCTGTACAAGGGGTCCGGCGGCGGGGGGCTTCGCCCCCCCCCGCCTAGTTGTCAGGCACAGAAAGGCGCCTCAAAGAATAGGTGAAAGCACAGGCTGAGATTACATACCAAGTGGAATAGTGTTTAGGCGACGGAGATGAAGGCTCAGCATGAGTCGTTCAGCGCACAGAGGCGTGCATGGAAGAAGTAGCAGGGTAGACGCAATATCAGTCTGTCTGCACGATGAATTTTGATTCAGTCGGCGACAGATGCCCGGATAAGGTGAGTCCAGAGGCATGAAAAATTAAAGTAGGAGAGCACGTGGTTGCATTAGCGAGAAGAAAAACAGTCGAGGACGATGTAAACTTCTTACGTACAAATGCAGTGAAACGATAATTTGGAAGAAGTTGCTACGATGGTGCTGGTGCACGCAGTAAACGTAATTTGCAGAGCAACACCGAAGACAACACGAGAATACGGACAAAAGACGGATTGAAGGTCAAGGCGTTGATGCCAGTAAAGACCCGAGCCTGTCTGCTTTCCTGTCTGACTCCATGCTGCCAACTACTATCTCGTGCACAACCTTCCCGCCCGCCAGAGTCTGAAATTACTCGAAGAAACGGTCGACTACAACACAAATTATTTCAAGCATAGAGAAGAGAACCAAAGCAGTCCGGGCGCCGTCGGT